AAAGTGCTGTTTGTGTTTTTCTTTAGTTTTCTTGTGTTGTTTCATTTCTTTTACACTTCTTTACTCATTTCTAGTTTCCCTCTTTCATTTGTGCATTTGTGGTGTGTTAATTAAGTGTTCTCTTTGTACTCGAATTAGAACTTATAGGAAACCGACAAGTTCTTCGTGGGATCGACCCCGTACTTACATAATCTATACTTCGATAGATTCGTGCACTTGCGGGTATTTTTAATTGGTTGTTTGCACATTAATTTGTGTCCTTTTAGGAATGCAACACATATTATGTACATTGTTTTGCGCATCAACTACAATTAGCATTAGTTTCAGCATCAAAAGAAGTGGGTGTAATTTGGTTATTCTTTTCATCCTTGAATTCAATTGTCAAAGTCATTACTACTTCTCCGAAAGGTCATAGTGAGTTACAAGTTGCTCAATCAATGAATATTATAAAGTTGTTGGTTGCTGGTGAACAAGAGACTAGATGAAGTTCTCATTATGATTCTGTTTGTGATTTGATAATTATGTATGATGTTGTTTGTACAATTTTTTAGAATACAAAGAAGGATGGATCCACAGGCTCCTTACATGGGGCTCACAGATATCATGCAAGAAATCATGGGACTCACAGATATCCTTTGTCGAGAACTGCAACATAAGTCTCAAGACATCGTGAATGGCATGAACTTAGTCGGTACAACAAAAAGTGCCCTTCATAAGTTGAGATTAACTGGTTGGGAAACTTTTATTAGGAAAGTATATTTATTTTGCAAGAAACAAGACATTGATATGCCTCATCTGAATGCTCAATATAAAGTCGGAACAAGATGTTCTTGTCAGCAAAATGACAATATTACAGTTGAGCATCACTATCACTTTGACATATTCAATGATGCAATAGATTTTCATTTGGTTGAGCTGAACAGTGGGTTCAGTGAAGGGGCAATAGAACTTCTTATTCTTAGTTCAGCTTTAGACCCTAGTGATTCTTTTAAATCATTTAACATTGATAAAATTTGCATCCTTGCGGAGAGATTTTATCCTCAAGATTTCACTCCTCAAGAGTTACAAATTTTGAGATGCGAGCTGAAACTTTACGAAGCAGATGTACCTCATCATCCTGTACTTCAAAAAGTGTCTAGTCTCTCTGAATTATGTCGATGATTAGTTGAAACGAAAATGTCACAAAGATATCATTTGATTGATAGGTTGATCCGTCTTGTGCTAACTCTCCTTGTTTCTATGGCAACTACTGAACGAGCTTTTTCATCTTTGAAACTTGTTAAAATAGCTCTTCGCAACAAGATGAAGAATGAATTTCTAGCAGATTTTATGATTGTCTACATTGAAAAAGAATTTGCTAACAATATCGATTCATATGCAATAATAAAATATTTAAACTCTCTTAATGATCGCAGGGCACAACTTCAATAGGTACACTTTTAATTATTGTTGAACATATGATTTAATGTATATTTTTAGTGTGGTTTATATGATTTAATGTATTCTTTTATTTTAGCTAAAAAATTTAGCTAACCCACCTATTGAAAATTTTCTGGTTCCACCCTTGATTGTAGTGATAACACATAAAGGGATAAGTTATCCTCAAAAAATGCATACAATGGGATCGTGGTGGAATTATCCTATTCACATTCATTTTTTAGCACCAAGCATGACATCAGATTAAGCTAATCTAATCCTACTATTTATCATACCCATAAAACTAGTTATTGTATTAGGTTTTGTCTTTAATGAACATTTTTAGAGGATTTAACTTGGAATATTATTCTAATATCGGAAAGATAATGAACAGTCTTGGAACATTCGTAGGGGATTTAACTTGGAATATTGGAAAGATAAGTGGTTCATATTCTGGTATGTTAAGCCATCTCCAACCCAAAAGGGGCTAAACTCAAATTTCTCCTCTTCAAAATACAACTATTCATGTATTGCCCAGACTCAAAAAGTTTTTTCCATCAACCATGTAGACTCATAATTTGAGTCTGCAACTTTATTAAATTATATATTTAAAAAAGGTTAATCCCTATTATTCTTTTTCTCGTTATTTTTTCTTGACATTATTCTTGTTTCAACCTTCATGAATTAATTTTATGAAGATTTTAATCTTAAAAAATCCAAAATCCAAAACATAATATAATTTCACTTTAAAAAAAGAACAAGTACAACAACATTTTATTTCATAAACCTTAATGAGGATTTATAGAGTTTAGGATGTGTTTTGAGGTTAGATCTGATTTAGAATATTTTATTTATTTATTTTAGCTGTTGAGTTTTAATTTCAGTCGTTAGATCATTTGTTTTCCCATTAGATTGTTTTTGCAGTTGGATTTGCTCATATTAAATCTTAGCCAATAGATATTATATAACCTTTGAAATTAAATTGGAGGCAAAATTATAGCAATGATCCCTGGACTAAGACCAAACTTTACTTTTCATCCTTTATATTGCTAAATTGTTACGGTGGTACTTTAATTATGCCTCCATTTTTAGAAATCGTCCTTTCTGTTGTCTCAGTCAACTTTTCCGTTAAAAATGATGACGAGTTGGTTATCAAACTTGAGGAATCCCTGGGAATCTCTACTCTGGAAAGTGGTCCCAAGTTGATTGGTGTTATCATAGCTGACAAGATTCCCAATAGAGGCACTATCAAAAACATCCTCACAAAGGCCTGGGTAACTTATGGTGAAGCAAAAATCACCTACATGAAAGACAATCTCTTCACTATCATGGTTCAAGACGAAAACATGGCAGACAATGTTATCAATGATGGGCCATGGTCAGTTATGGGCTGCTGTTTCACAATACAAAGATGGCAAGACAACTTGGCTATTGAAGAGATGCCACTCCACCTTGTATCATACTGGATTCAGGCCCATGGTATCCCAATGAACCTCATGACAACTAGAAATGCCACGGAGATTGGTGAAAAGCTAGGCATTGTTGTGGAAGTTGAGGATCCTTGGCGGAAGGGCAGTAGGGGTTTCCTCCGTATTCGTGTTCAGATTGATTGCAGATTACCCCCTTCCCCTTGGCTTCTGGCTGCCCAGACGTGAAAGCCCAGCTACTTGGGTGGAGTTCAAGATAGAAAGGCTCTCGGATTTCTGCTTTTCTTGTGGAAGATTGGGTCACAACCAAAACGGGTGTAAAACGCCGCATGATCAGAGTAATCTTCAACGCTCGACTAGCTATGGCGACTGGCTCAAGACGAGAGCTATACGAGATCAACGACCTCCGCTGAACTTGAATATCCCAAGGGGCGTCCGACGGCAAGCTAGTGAGACCGAAATTGTAAACCGTGGATCCCAGGTGGCGCGTGTTATTCAGCCAAATATGGTTGAGACTGCAAGTGGCGATGTGGCTGACAATCCTAGGCACACCTACCAAGGGGCAACTAGGACTGGTGAGGAACTGGGAACTAAGTCTTCAAATTCTTTAATGCCAGCCGAATAGACGTCTATTCTTCTTAAAAGTGATGGACAAGGTAGCAACTCCAACACTGACAAAGGCAAGGAGCCAACTCACAATCAAGTGCAAAGTTCTGAACTTCAACTTTATGACGGGGGAGTTGTTGACAGAGGGGACATCTCTTCCTCCCTTGCTCATAGAGGTGTGACCTTTGTGGACGAAATTGGCCCTCCCTTTGAAGAAAGGCTAAAATGGGCCCGCTCTCAACTAAGTTTTGGCCAACATTATGTTACTAATTGGACTTATCCTGGGCCTAGTAATCTAGGCCAAAAATGCTATGATTTGGGGCCTTACGACATACCCATTAATATTGAGCCCATTTTCAAAAACCTTTTTGGTCCTATCTCTGGAGTCCAACGCCAACCCAATGTGCAGCAGATTGATGGGGCTTTTGAACATTTGGGCCTCAAACGTGAGGCAAACCCA